ATAACTGAGGATTTCATATGTCTAGACACTGTTCCACATCCTTTACATATGTGATCTCATTGAATCTTCAGTGCAATCCAATAACATATGCAGTATTATCATCCTCATTTAAGTTGAGGAAGCTGAGGCACAGAGAGAGCTGATATATTTGGCAAATGGTCATAATAATAGTAGGATATAAATTGCCACTGTAGTTTTATATTGTTGATGAAATGTATTTACATTGTTCAATGAATATTTTAAAAGTCACCAAAAACAAATTTTGGCCAGGCACAGTGGCTCACGCCTATAATCCTTATAGCACTTTGGGAGGCTGAGGTGGGAGGATCTCTTGAGGCCAGGAGTTCGAGACCAGCCTGGGCAACATAGCAAGACTCTATCTCTACAAAAAAATTGTAAAAATAATCTGGATATGGTGGCATGCACCTGTAGTCCCAGCTACTTGGGAGACTAAGTTTGAGCCCAGGAATTCAAGGCTGCAGTGACCTATGATTGCACCACTACACTGTAGCCTGGGCAACAGTAAGACCCTGCCTCTAAAATTTAAAAATAAATAAATAATGGCACACATTTACCTATGTAACAAACCTGATCATCCTGCATATGTACCCCTGAACTTAAAATATGAGTTGAAAATTTAAAAAATTCTTTATTTTAAATTTAATATTATTTCTCCTTCTTAGAATGACCACAGCTTTGATTTTTTTTTATAAAAAATATGATTTCGAGTTTGCTAAAATATGTTCAAAATATAATGTTAAGTTTCTCCAGCTGAAATATTTTTTTTCTGAACATATTTTATTCCTTCAGTCCCAGAAGGAAAATTACACCTCACAGATAACTTACACTTTGTTATATTCTGACCCTTGTAAGTTTTTCATTATTTTTGAAATGATTAAGATATATAATTTACAGAATTGGAAATTTTAATTTTTAAAAGTACTGAGAAACTTTAACCCTATTATAATTATTATGCAAACCTTTTAAGGATGCTATAGTCAATACAACTAGATGAAAAACTCTGATAGATTGGGAAATATAGAGGGTCATTTATAAGCCTCAATTTTTTTGTCTTGTGTTTCCCACCCACTCGTTCTCTATGTCCCTCCAGTCTCAGAGCAATTTCCTACCCTGGGTTCATGGGAATTGGGAAGGGCACTGTTTGATTCATTCTATGAAAATACTAGGGATTTTGAAAAAGGCAAGACAGGCCACTTGTGTCACTTCCTGTCGTCTGATCAAAAGTTTGATGAAGAAAAGAAAGTAACTAAGAGCTGCTGCCAGACAGTTGCCTGGTGCTGACCCTGGGTTTCCAGTGCTACTCTGGTTCTCAGTGTGGCCAGTCAAGTCCCTCTGACCTCTGGGCTCCTTAGAAGTCCCTGGTGCTGGCTGAGCTGCAGAGGGTCTGCTCAAGAGCCTGGCCTTTTGGAACAAAGACAGCTTGTGGATGCTGGATCAGGCTTTAGATGAAATCCCAACTGGCTCCTGAGTGTTTGGGTCCTATCTGTGCTTAGCTTTCTGGGTCTGTCAATCAGTTTCATTTCCTATCCACAGGCTATTAATAGGCGTGAGAAGCAAGAGGGCCTGATACATGGACCACGTGAGTCATTCCCCTCCTGGATAGTTATATATACCAATAGGAAATTGACTGTTGGAGAAGAGAAACAGATTCCTGGTGAATAAAGTCAAAGAGACAGGGATGTGGACATTTGCTGCATTAGTCCAACAATGATGTATTTATCTGTGCCCAAGGTGGGTCTTCTGCTGTGCATACAGATTGAAAACGGAGGCCTTGGTTTTGAACCCTCAGTGTGGGGCATCAAGGATGAGGGGCAAGTGAACCTGGGCAGGTGTTCTGGGCAAAGCAGGAGCAGGGGCAAAGGCAAGGCAGGGAAGGGGGTGAGAGTCCACCTGGGTCCTACCTTGATTCTTAGGTGGCGAGTGGAGAGTTGAAGGGGGAAGATTGTGGGCTCGGTCCCCACTGGACAGGGTGGGCTGTGTGGCATGGGAGTTGAGAGCCTGGGTGCCAGAGTTCAGGTCTCTTCTCTGCCACCTCTACCTGCTATATAAATATGAGCAGTCAACAGACTTCCCTAAAGCCTCGACTTCCTCATCTATAAAGTAGGGACTATGTAGTGGGGCATGTTTAAGTTCTAGAGGGAACTTGGATAGTCAGAATTACTCTGGAGAACTCCTTAAGGAACCCATGAGGTTGAGTGGCCTTGGTTCTGTGGGCACAGCTTTGCCCACAAGAGATGGAGGCCCATGGGGCCAGTGCAGGGTCCATTCTGCTGTAAAGATGGAGACTGGAAAACACCACTGGGCCCCCAGTGTGTTCCTCCCTCCTTGTTCCCCACTGGATTTTATCTCATCCTGCCTCAAGAGCCACCCTCACAGCCCTGTGGCTAGTTCCCAGATTTACTGATGGTTATGAGGACCCAGAAGACAGTTGGTTGTATCTTCTGGGTGGAGAAGGCTTGGGCTCAGCTTGTATGAGGGAAGTGCAAGTATCATGGGGCCATGGGGAGAAGGTGAAAAGCCCAGGAAAAAGGGTTTGTGAAGCACACAGCATAATGCTTGGCACAAGGCGAGTAGCAAGAAACTGGGAGTTAAAAAGCAGGAGTCCCCAAAGCCACACTGGGTAGTCTGTTTTTTTTTAGAGGACAGTAGGACTCTAGCATGAGAAGGGCATGGTCAGGTCTGTGTTTTATTGTATTCATTTATACACTTAAAGTTATAATTTTATTTTGGGGCAGATACTACACACCCCTGTTTAAAATGAAAAGGAACTGAAGAATGTAGAGAAGAATTTCCTTCCAACTCATCTTTTGTCTCCAGCAGACAGCCAAGTCATTAGTTTCTTTTGCATTCCCTCAGATATATTTTATGTGTGTAGAAGCAATACATATTCATATGCGACACCCACACACATGCTCACACACACACATCTATGCCTTATCCTCTTTTCAACACAAATCACACTCTGCATATTGTGCCTTCCCCTTCTCACTCACTCCGCCTTGGATATCATTCCATAGTGATAGATAAAGAGCTTCTTCATTCTTTTAAATGGGTGTATAGTATTCTATCATGGCATTATAGCATTATATACTTATTTTCAACCTGTCCCCTGCTGATGGACATTTACTTGGTTTCCAGTGTTAGCTATAACAAACATGCTGCAGGGATGTTTTGTGAGCTTGCCTGGGTCAAAGATTATGTGCCTCTGCAGAGGTTATACCAGTTAACCCCCATCCCTGCTCCTGCCCAGCAGTATATGCATCAGTTATATATTTTTAGAAAGTGCCTTTGGAGAGGCTGTTTGGAGGATGGAGTTTGGAGGGCCACATCTGAGCTGCAGCAGCCCATTAGGGAGTAGCCATCATGAGCCTGCCATGGGCTATGGGAACTAGAGCTGGAACAGAGAAGGAGTCCAGAGGCGAGCTGGTAATTCGGTAGCTATGAGGGGGAGTCTATCAGACCAGTCAAGTCTGTTTTTAATAGTCTGTCATGTTAATGGTAAATGATAGAGCCAGTGTCCATCCTCTGTGGCTGTAGCAGAGACCAGGGCCCTCCTGCCCCCATGACCTGGCAGGGGAGATGCTGCTGCTGCTGCTGCTGCTGCGTGCAGCTGGGCCTAGCCTGTGGCCCCCGCTGGCAGGATGAGGAGAGGAGGATGGACAGGGAGAAACAGAGGGGGAAACAGGAGAGTTGGGACATGTCTAGGCCTACCTGAAGTCAGAGAGGCACACCATTCTCCTGGGGGAGGCCAGAGGAGCGTCACAGAACAGTGATGACCAAGAGGCCTCTTAGAACAGTGGGAAGGATTCTTCAGCAGTGGTGTCAGGAGCCCTGGTTTCTAGTCCCTTCAGTACTAGTTGGCTGTGTGATCTAGAGCACATGATCTAGACCTATGTCTCTGAGTCTCCCTTTCTTCATCTGAAACACAAGTTTACTGGAGATTAAGTAAGCTGACCTAGTGTGCATAGTCAGGGTACCTGCAAAAAAGAAAAGGTTCTCCCTCCTCCTTGCCTTCCCTCTGTCCCCAGAAGTGGGATAGAGAATCAGCAGTCATCAGAATCATGCACAGAGCAGTCTCCTTTGCATTGCCAGCGACCATAACCTGATCCCGAAAAATGCTTCATGGGCATTCTTATAAACTCAAAATGTAATTATTCTTATTTTAATAGGGAGAATGTTTGTATATTCCTGCAATCTGAAGTTACACCCTTCTTGTTGAAATGACTCCAAATCCCATTAAAAAGGAAACAGTCACTTCACTGGCTAATGTTATGTTCCTAACATGATTTATAGCAGTTTCCCTTCATTCAGTTTCTGTAACTTGTCTGTCTACCTGCTGTTGTTCAGCTCAGATGTCCTATACAGAAGGATGATGCTCACAAGCACACACACACACACACATACACAATATTCAGCGATTATGTTGCTGAACCTTGGATGCTCCTGTCACCCCAGATGGAACAGGAGTGAGCCATAGTGCTGTGAGGAAAAGATGCTGCCGACTCCCTAACCCTCCCCCTTCTGCCCCCTCTACTTGTTCAGTCCTTCTCTCATTTCTTAGCAAGGGCAAGTAGCTAGGCATTTGCCAAGCCTAGTACAAAACATTTTTTTTTCCCTGCTAGGACATTTCTTCCTCTGTCAAATGGAATGAAAGTGATAGGATTGGTGCAGTAGAAAGGCATGGGTTTTGTAGTCAGACGAGCCTATACCTAAATCCAGCCCTGTTGTGTGTTAGCAGTATAACCCTGGGCAAACTCTCTGTGTTTTGTGGGCCTCAGTTTCCTCATCTGCCATGGTGGTTCTGAAGCTTCAGGTCCAAGTGCCTAGCACAGGGCCTGCAGCCAGGAGCTGTGTAGTCACAATTTATTCCACTTTGCTCACTTATACTGCAGTGCTTTGTCTGACATGGGACATTGGGCAACTTTCTGTGGGGCTCAACACCCTTTTTCCCTTTCTAACCTTCTCTTCTCTTATCCCAGGGGCCCAGATCATTGATCTGATGATGCTGGTCATCGATGTGACCAAGGGGATGCAGACACAGTCTGCAGAATGCCTTGTGATTGGCCAGATTGCCTGCCAGAAGCTCGTCGTGGTGCTAAACAAAATAGACCTCTTAGCTGAAGGAAGAAGACAGGCAACAATTGACAAAATGACCAAGAAAATGCAGAAGACCCTAGAGAACACCAAGTAGGTCTGCTAATGAGAGGAATAAGAAGCCTGCATGAGAAGGCTTCTGGGGCTTCCCAGAAGGGAATGTTCATTTCACAAACATGGATTGGACAGGCAGGCGTCAGCCTCCTGTCCTAGTAAGTGTAATCTCAACCTGGTGTTTGCTCACATAAGGGCTGCATTAAACTGTATAAAGGCTAATGTGTTTCTGAAATAGGCTGAAAACCACAGGAGGATAAAACACTTGAATTTGTACACAAATCCATTTTATTAAAATCCAAAGATAACAGGTCTTTAGGTATATTTTGTACCAAGTTAAATTAGAAGACAAAAATTGTGCTTTTATAGTTGTTGCAAAGATAAATAATGGAGATATTTGGTACAAAACAACAAAATACAATATACATATGTAGTATATACATATGTATGTATAATATATACATATTCTCATATATAGATATAGCTAATAAAATTACCTGGAGTGTTAAAAAAAAAAAAAAACACTAGAATTTGTTGAGGCACAAGCACTTCTGTGTCTCAGTTCACAGGAAGGAGAGGGAACACAGGAAATGTGTGCCCAGTGTGCAAACCTGGACCAGGAAGGGTTCACATCCTTTCTACTGAGATTGTCTTGGTGAAAACTTAGTCCTGCCTACACATGTTGGCCATACTTTGGTGCAAGAGAGGCTAGGAATTGTGTTCTCTTGCTGTCTGCTTCTCTACAACTTGATTATCTAAAGAGGAAGATGCATTTGGTGGATGACTGGTTGTTTCTGTTATAGAAGCTTGTAAAACTGGGTGGACAGACAGATGGATGTTGCTGCTGGAGGCCAGACTAGGAAACACCAAATCACAAAGGACCCTTTTAGCATCTCCTGCCAAGGAGTTTATAGTTTTATCTTGTGGAAAGTAGGAAGTTATTAAGGAATTTTATGCCGGGGGTGTCTAGATGAGTTTTTTCATTAGGAGATCACTGGCTACAGGTAGAAGGCTGGCATGGTGAGGAGGACCCAGGAGGCAGCAGGGAGGAGGAGGCATTGGCAGCAGAGGCTACTGAGCTATAGTGCTTTTACCAGGGAGAAAGGCGTTGCTTTGCATTGAGGCAGAGCATGGAGGGAGGAGATGGCTTGGGGAGATCTCTAGCAGGAGAATCCACAGGCCTGGTCAAGCAATTGGCCCTGATCACAATAGCATGGAAGAAAGCTGGCAGTGCTACTGGGAAGGGCAGGGGAGCAGGAGGCACAGGGGGACTATGAGACAGAAAGCCACCTGGTTGCTCAGGTGGCCACAGGAATGACTGATTCTGATGTGGTCAAGAAAATGAGAAAATGTCCTTGTTGAGCACAATGTTGGCAGACCTCATTGTTTTATCAATTTCTCTCTTCCTCTCTGGGCCAGTCCCTTTTGATCAATACTAAATAGCGGTCACTGGGAGACAGGGATGCTTCCTCTTTGCTATGCAGCCAGAGACAATATCCTGCCACTTCCACCTCTCCTTCTTCTGCCTGTGGAGGGCAAGCAAGTAGAGAGTGTTTTTGTTTCCCTGTCATAAAGATTGATATGCCTTCCCATTTATGATGTTTTTTTTCAGATCCAACACCTGCAGCTCTCCCTCAGAATTCTCAAGTTGGTTAAATTAAAGCTCCAGCCCTGTGAATGGGCCAAATATGTCATAAAAGATTTCCTAGCGCTGCCTTTTGTTAGCAAAATTCATCAATCCGATAAAATCGACACATTTAGATAAGTGTTGCATAAGAATTCAGACTTTGTTATTCCCAACGGAAGTGGATATGAGACTGTAAAAAAGAAGATAAAAAATTATATCTTCCTTTTAGTGAGTTATTTGATCTCCCTGTCGTTTTATTTACTTGTCAGAAAAGGAAGAACAGGTCTCTTGGACTCCTGCATAAAAATCCAGTACAATCTCAGTATCATTTACTATAGAAATGGGACCTTCAGGGAAGGGCTTAGGGTACATTTAAGGGTAAATTGATAGTAACAGTTTTGATTAATTAAATTTAAGGAAAATTCTCATTTGCTTGTGTAAATTACTATTTCTATTTTAGTTTATTGGTTGAAGGTCAAATTGTGGGCTTTTTCACACATCCAGAGGAAATTGTCCATCTGAGGGTCCTTGGAAGCCCCTCCTGCCTTCATGTAGCACCAGCCGGTTGGTAGGGAAAGGGGAGGACTGTCACCCTGAGGGCTTGTGATCAGTGGGCCTGTGACCCAGTGAACATTAGCTTTTGCGTCCATGCAGCAAATTATTTTAAGTGACTATATCCTTTTCTTATGGTCCCTTGTTAAGTAAATCCTTCAAAAATGCCAGTCCAGATGTAAAGAAACGTTCTGTCTGTAAAGGGAAAATGTGGACTGGTGAGCCATGTACCTATCAAAACCCAAAAAATGTGTAAAACATTAAATGTATTTTTTTCTATCTGGAGTAATTGAAAGAAAACTTGGAAAATAGAGAAAAGTAGTTAAAAGAAAGAAGAGATCACCCAAAGATTTATTTTCTCAAATGGCAGCTGCTGGCATTTTTGGGGTTTTTCATTTCTTGTTTTTTTGTTTTTTTTTTTTTTTACTATGCATAGTATTACCCCTACTTTTCCTTCCACATTTTTTTATTGTGGTAAAATACATATAATGTTTATCATTTTAACCACATGTAAGTGTACAATTCAGAGCTATCAAATACATTCACAGTGCTGTGTACCCATCCCACTATGTATACCCCAAACTTTCTCATGGTCCCCCAACATAAACTCTATATCCATTAAGCAATAACTCCCCTTTCTTCCTTCCCCTCACCCCTGGGAACCTCTATTCTGCCTTTCATCTCTATGAATTTGCCTGTTCTAGGTACCTTATATCAGTGAAGTCATATACTATTTGGCCTTTTGTGTCTGGATTATTTCACTTAGCATAATGTTTTTAAGGTCCGTCCATATCATAATGTATGTCAGAATTTCACTCTGTTTTGTGGTTGAGTAGTGTTTTATTATGTGTATATACTACATATTATTTATCCGTTCTTCTCTTGGTAGACACTCAGGTTGCTTCCTGGCTATTGTGAATAATGCTGCTGTGAACATGGATGTATAGATATTTATTCAATGTTCTGCTTTTAATTCCTTTCAATACATCCTAGGAGATACGAAGTGATATATCATCATAATTTTCATTTGCATTTTCGTAGTGACTAATGATATTGAGCATCTTTTCATGTGTTTAATGGCCAGTTGTGTATCTTTTTAAAAGAAATATCCAAGTCCTTTGTGCATTTTTAGGTTGGGTTATTTGTTGTTGTTGTTGTTGAATTGTAGTCATTCTTTATGTATTCTGGACATTGAACACTTGCCAGAGATTTGATATGCAAATATTTTCTCCTATTTTGTTGATTGTCTTTTTACTTTGGCGATAGTGTCCTTTGATATACAAAACTTCCTAATTGGATGAAGTCTAATTTATCTTTTTTTTTTTTAATTGCCTGTGCTTTTGGAGTCATATTTATGAAACTGTTGCCAAATTTAATGTCATGAAGATTTCCCTCCAGTGTTTTTTTCCTAAGAATTTTGTAGCTTTAGCTCTTCAGTTTAGGCCTTTGATCCATTTTGAGTTAATTTTTGTATATGATATAAGTGTTCAACTTCATTATTTTGCATGTAGAAGCCAGTTTTCCCAGCACTATTTGTTGAAAAGATTTTTCTTTCCCCTTTTACCTTTGTCAAAAACCAGTTGACCATATATGTGTGGGTTTATTTCTAGGCTTTCTGTTCTATTCCGTTGGTCTATATGTCTGTCCTTAGGCTAGTCCCACGTTGCTTTGATGACTGTAGCTTTGTAATAAGTTTCAAAGTCAGAAAGTATGACTCTTCTATCTTTGTTCTTTTTCAAGATTGTTTTGGCTATTTGGGGTTTCTTGCAGTTCCACTTGAATTTGAGACTCTCCTTTTCCATTTCTGTGGAAAGGTTGTTGGATTTTTTTTTTTTTTTAATGTATTTTATTGCACTTTAGATTCTGGGGTACATGTGAAGAACATGCAGGATTGTTGCATAGGTACATACATAGCAATGTGGTTTGCTGCCTCCATCCCCATCACCTATATCTGGCATTTCTCCCCATGTTATCCCTTCCCAACTCCCTACCCCCAACAGTCCCTCCCCTAGTCCCACCCAACAGACCCCAGTGTGTGATGCTCCCTTCCCTGTGTCCATGTGCTCTCATTGTTCAACACCTGCCTATGAGTGATAACATACAGTGTTTGATTTTCTGCTCTTGTGTCAGTTTGCTGAGAATGATGGTTTCCAGGTTCATCCATGTCCCTACAAAGGACATGAACTCATCGTTTTTTATGGCTGCATAGTATTCCATGGTGTATATGTGCCACATTTTCCTTGCCCAGTCTATCATCGATGGGCATTTGGGTTGGTTCCAGGTGTTTGCTATTGTAAACAGTGCTGCAATGAACATACGTGTGCTTGTGTCTTTATAATAGAATGATTTATAATCCTTTGGATATACACCCAGTAATGGGATTGCTGGGTCAAATGGAATTTCTATTTCTAGGTCCTTGAGGAATCGCCACACTGTCTTCCACAATGGTTGAACTAATTTACACTCCCACCAACAGTGTAAAAGTTCCTATTTCTCCACATCCTCTCCAGCAGCTCTGTTGTCTCCAGATTTTTTAATGATCACCATTCTAACTGGCATGAGATGGTATTCAGTGTGGTTTTGATTTGCATTTCTCTAATGACTAGTGATGATGAGCATTTTTTCATATGTTTGTTGGCCTCATATATGTCTTCTTTTGAAAAGTATCTGTTCATATCCTTCACCCACTTTTGAATGGATTTGTTTGTTTTTTCTTGTAAATCTGTTTTAGTTCTTTGTAGATTCTGGATATTAGCCCTTTGTAAGATGGGTAGATTGCAAATTTTTTTTTCCCATCCTTTTGGTTGTCAGTTCACTCTAATGATTGTTTCTTTTGCTGTACAGAAGCTCAGGAGTTTGA